ACCAATGCATTGGAGGAAGGAAGGATAGTCTTTGAAAAATGATTAGGGGTAGGAGGACTCAACCTAAACCTTGCATAAGGGGGAAAACAGAAGAACATTTCCGTATCAATATCAGCTTCCTGGATTTGGTGTAGTGCTGTTGATATGTAAGATGTAACCAGTGGAAGAAACTGGCAAAGGGTACTTGGGACCCAGCTTTGCAAATTCCTGTGAATTTCTAGTTATTTCAGGATAAAAAGTCAAAACTAAAAGATGGATACCATACTTGCTATAGGATTCCAAAGGAAGAAATGATTGCTTCACAGCTAGAGTACGGTGGCCATGAACTCCTGTCATCCCAGCCTGGGTAACCTCTCGAGACCTTGTCTCAAAATTTAATAAAGAACTGGAGATGTAGATCAGTGGTAAAGTGCCCTGGGGTCAATCCCTAGTGCAAAACAATAGCAACTAGGGTAATGAGGAAAGATTTGAGACCATGGTCTTTGAACCTGTGTTTATAGATAGGAAGAAGTGAGTGTATATAAGACAAGTGGAGTCAGTAAATGTTTAAGGAATGAGTGCCACTTCACTGGTATTAAGACATGTTCATAATATCTGATGAGTTTAAAGAACATTCAGGTTAACTGAGATGAGGATTGTACCTTTATCTCACATAGAACTCTGGAATACTTGTTATCCTTGTCACACAAATTAAGGAAGCCTCAGTGTAAGAAAAGAAGACCTGAATTTCCAGTATCAGAAACGGTAGTTCAAAGGATGGATGAGAATAATCAACGCAGCATGGGATTTTAAACAAAGATAGTTTTCATGGACTTAATGGAACCAGAGGGGCTGGGGCTGTAGCTCAGTGGTAGAGTGCACCTGCCTCGTATGTGTGAGGCACTGGATTCGATCATTGGCACCATATAAAAATAAATAAAGATATTGTGTCCATCTACAACTTAAACAACAAATGGAATCAAAGGAAAAGGAAAAGTTGCATGACGGGTATAGAGCTTACCTGTTAGCCAAGATGTCGAGATAAATTATAGGCCTGGGCTAAGGCCGTGGAATCACCCATTCTTTTACTCCATGGAGTGTTCACAGCTTGGGAGTGCATGTTTAGGTGATTGCTTACTGTTTCTCTTCTATTTGATTACAAGCATTCTGAGGTCAGGATTGTATGCCCACTTCCTGTCCTAGTGCCTGGTTCCGCTTGGTCACCACATTTCTTGTTTCTTGTCAAATGCTTAATGCCTGAAATTGGTGACTTACCAAAACTCTTCAGCTAGAGTGAAGAGAAAACAGATACAAACAGGATGGTTCAGAACAGGATAGACAGGTGGGCAGTGTGTGGTGGAGCTTTGATAGATGTGTAAGGATTTCTGCTTTTACAAGGAATAAATTCAGGAGTGAATTTTGTAATTATGATGTATTTATCCCCCCCCCGCCCCCGTTTACTTCTAAAGGCTGCCAGAATTTTTATTGAACAATATAGGAGTTATGTAAATGGCTTTGAAAATATAAGCTGGTACAGGTTAAAAAAGGCCTGAAGTAGTGCTGTTTAATAGCTTAGTACGACTGCTCTCTCAACACACCTCCATTTACGTGACTGGGGAGATTAGCCAGCACCTTCCAGCCAAGCGAGTATTCCTAGCGCCTGTGTCTATATCCACTCCCACTGATGGACTTGAAGGCCATCAGGAGCCACTTACTTTTTGTGTTCCCAAGCCTTTGCCTGCTAGTTGTACTCCTTATTTTAATTATACAGTGTATATAAATCATTGAAAAGAAAGTGTTTCTGTAAATTAAGTTGAATGTTTTGAAAAGAGCTGTAAAGGGTAATTTAATTACTAAAAAAATACTATTGAATTTAGAGCAAGAGAGCTGTAAAATATTAAGGATAAATGATTCTGGAAGAAATGGAAAAGGGGATTCTGCATTCATATTACTCCATATATCTTAAGTCCCTGTCTCACTTTTAAAGCAGTGTCTTCCAAACTTTGTATCATAAACTTAACTTATTGGGTTAAAATCAGTAATTAAAAAAAAAAAAGGCAGGGTTGGGACTGTAGCTCAGTGGTGGAACACTTGCCTGACATGTAGGAGTCACCCTGGATCTGGTCCCCAGCACTGTAAAAATAATACCTGTCAGAGCATATTACACCTAGGGAGGAGCATTTCTTGAGTTTTTTATATTTATCCTATAAATATATGTAAAATGTGGCTTGAATTCAAAACTTGAAAATGCTTTGGGTCTAAACTCAAAGAAAAGGCTTTGGTCTAACATCAGAAGATGGTAAATTAATGTGTATGTGCCTTGGGTTAAAGTAAAATGTTTATGCATATAATGTTTTTATGGTATCTAAGTTGACCTTTCTGATTAACCAGACAACTTGGTTAATCTTGGTCTTGTGGGATAACAGTTTTTGCATATTTTATTTTGTTTATTTTCTTCCTGGGCCTTGTTACTTACTTGTACCCTTCACCCCAAATTTCTCTGCCACTTATTAGCTGTGTGACCCTAGAGTCTTTCTGTAAACTTTGGTTTTCTTTTTATGAGATAATCCTTAAGATTTATTGTTATAGGGCAGTGCTTGATAGCCAGATTGATAAAGTACATTTCTTTCTTTCTGTCCATGTGAATGTTTTATAAATAGTAGAAATTCCATTTTATGTTAATTTAAATAATTTTCTTAAGTATTTAGAGCCCATAAGGCAATCCTGGAAAGTGTCATTCATATACATGGTGACACATTGCCCAGTTGTGGTGGCTATACTAAAATCCACCACTTGACCACATCTGAAGTTTTCACATCTTGGAATGTCCTGTATTTAGGCATAAGTAAATTGTTTTACGTGGTATGTGAGTAATGAGGTTTTTTGGTAAAAAAATTTGCAGTTCTTAAGTGTGTTCATTACTGAAGGTTCATGGCTGAAGCAGTATTAAGTGTCTTCAGTAAGCAAATTAGTAGAGTATCTATAGTAGAATTTGAAAAAGGATGAAGATTTAAAAGGATGCCTGGGGTGAAATAGAACTGCAGTCCCTTGTGAGACAGCAGGGAGGTGACCAGGAGTAGTTGTTTAGTAAGACATCTCTGCCTCTTGGACCAGGAGCAGTCAATACAGAACAGTGTGTACAAACAGCTGTTCTTCTGGAGCATGACCAGGGTGGATGCTGATGGTTTAGTAAGGGAGAGTACAAGCCCGTCTCAGTTAACTCACACACAGAAGGTGTTTTCAAACCCTAGTTTGTAATTTGGTTGTTATTGCCCTCATTTTCTTTTCTAGTGAGATCTAGACTAGCCCAAAACTTTGTTCATGAGTGTAGAATTATTTTAGTATTAATAACCATGAATTCTGGGCTGGAGATGTGGCTCAAGCGGTAGCATGCTTGCCTGGCATGCGTGCAGCCCGGGTTCAATTCTCAGCACCACATATAAAGATGTTGTGTCTGCCAAAAAATAAATATTAAAAAAAAATTCTCTCTCTCTCTCTCTTTAAAAAAAAAAAAATAACCATGAATTCTAGGTCTTCAAAGAACATGCTTTCCCCCTATTAGGGGAAAAGGAAGGCAAATTTTAGACATAATTTTGAAATATTTGACTTTGAACTCTGCCCTTTCAACTCCTTTTCACATGTCTGTACAACCATTTCCTGTTCTTTGTGCATTCTGTGCACCCCATTCCTTCACCTCCCTCTCTTAGTCGAAATTACCTGAAGCTGTTTTAATTGAGTATTTATTGGTCTCTTCTCCAGTGGAAACCCAGTGTTGAAGGAAGGCAGTTGGGTGGGATCAGTTCATGCTGAAGTGTGAATGACCCACAGACATTTCAGAATTTTTTGTTGTTGTTCCTTAAAGAAGTGGTTTTGCTTTTTTCTTTTGGGTTTAGTTTTAATCTGGTTGATTCTTTGTTGATATTTCGGAGGACAAATGAAATGAACTTTTGACTTTGTGGCCAGAGTTATCTATCCTTTTCTATTGGATATGAATGGGCTGTAGTTGGAGAAATCAGGGGAAAGATGGTAGCCATCTCTCCCCAAGTCCCTAGTCCATCTGTAGAGGCCGGGACAGACTTTTGTATTTGAAATACAAAAGTATATTTTTGTATACCCTCTAGAACTCGCAGGGTGCCTGCATCAAGTGTAGCAGGAAGGGCTTTTTCTGAACATCCCACTGTAGCAGAGTCAGCTGCCTATAGTGAAGGTGAGCAGAGTCCCACTCTGGACAGTGGCTTGTGTAAGCTTTGGCCTTCTTGCAGTGCAGAGGCCCTGTGGGACTCTCTTGGTCTGTTGTGGCTGGTAACTATGCCACCAAGGTACTGTATCTGTGGGGTACCAATCAGCAAACACATTGATTGACTCTAGGCCCAAGCCATCCCTGTCTAAAGATGAAAGACCAAATTGGCAAAGAAAGGGTGCGTTGAAGGTGTCACTGTGCAAAGTACAAAAGTGCAGATGATGAATGGTGGTGCAATTCTGTAAGTAGTACAGGCGGTCAGGGTCAGAGGAGGAATAGGACCGGTGTTAGTGCTGCTGTGTTCTCTGTCATCATTGCACCTCACCTTTTCTCACCATGCCTTACACAGTCTACCTCATTCAAAATGTGTTTTCTGTTCTGTGATACATTGTTGCTTATTTTGATACAAAGTGGTGTGAATTCTTCATGAACAAAAGTGATGATTTTTAAAAGCTGTCCCATGTTTTTCAAGTGTCTCCTTGTGCAGCTGTCTCTTACTCTAGACTGAGAAGCATGAGCACACTTACCCCATAGCAACCTTCTCAGCATGTTAGAGATGAGTACATTCCGACTCCAGAGGGAAGGAGCTTCAAGAGGTGTCACGGGAACTAAGTGGTGGTGTTAAGTTTCTCCCCTACTCTATTAAGCATTTTGTGATTCTGTAAAAGAGAAAAACTAGCAAGATAAGTAGAATGTTTATCTAAGAAAGATTTTTGTTTCTAAGTTACTGAGTTTCAAGGAAATATTTTTAAAGGCTCCTGATTTTTTAAAAAAAATCTTTTTCATTTCCTTGTATGCATGTGAAATTTAATTTCATCCTTAATGTTCAGGAAAGCTATATGCATATTTTAAAAGTTAGATGTTTGGCATGCTTGAAGAGGATTTCTAAATTTAAAAAAGCAGGTCATAGTGGGCTGCTCCCCTTGAGAACTCTATCCAGGGCCCTTTTACATGTGTCTGTGCACACCTGACTGTGGAGCACAGTGCCTTGGCCACAAGTGACTAGTCTGCTTCCTCATTACACAAAAATTCTAGTGTGGCCCCTGAACATGTTCCTTAGCCACACTGTATGGTAAAAGTCAAGAACCCTGAGTTTGAAACTAGCAAAATCTCATTTTAAACCCTGACCTCAAATTATTAATGTAATATTGCATAAAAAGGGTTTTAGTTCTCTGTACCTATTTCCTTATTCTTAAAATGGGTAATAATGCTTTATGGACTTTTTATAAACCTTCTCCTGAATTGTCTGTGATGATTAGGATATAACATTATTGTGTAACGCCCAAAAGGTTTTATGTTGATCATTTACCTTGTAAATTGAATCAGCCTTGTTTGATAAGGATGTAGAAAGGAAGGGAGAGATCCATCAAGTGAAATTTACTTGAAAATACTGAGTAATTCCATAGTTTGCTTAGCCCTTTTGCTGAAGATCTGTACTCTTGAGTAGCATACTGCCTTCTTTCACATGAGATTGGTTTTCATGAGAGAAAGGACACTGCTTAATTTGTGGCATTCCACTAATCTCTTCTGTTAATTTGGTAGTATAAAAAGATTTGCAAATAATGAGTTCCATACCCTCAAAGATACTTTCATACACTCTGTCCTGCTTCCACATTTGTACTGTTGCCATGTTCTAAGTAGGACTTTCTCCTGACTGTGTGTTAATAACTGGAAAATTCCCTATCAGTAGAATGGCACCATCTTGACAGCCCTGGGTTCTGCTTCTACCTTGCTAATTGTTTCCTTGGGATTATTTGGATTGTGTGGAAAAGCTTTTTGCAAATCCTCTTATTACTGAAGTCATTGTTGCCAGCAGGAATAAGATTAAAGGTGCTTAAGTCTGTAGAGTTGTTTCTAATTTGTACGTGTCATTTCAGTGGCATTTTAACAGAACTCTGTCTCCTGTCCCTCCCTTCTCCCTTGGTACTATCTCAAGTTAAGTCCAAGAAGCCAGACCATTGGAAGAAATCACATTTTATCCTCCTAATTATTATGCTGGCACTCAGGAGATAATTTTTCCCTTCATGCACTGCCAATTAATATGCAAATGAGCTGATAAATATTTATGCAATGATTTAAATTATGCAGGGAGTGCTTTCAGTGTATTCTGTAAATGAATTGTTCCTGGACTTCAAAGTGCTGGCTGCTGTGCTAACGAGGAGAGATTTGCATAAGGCCCTAATCACGCGCATACTGATTAAGCTTCATTATGGAAACTGCCAGCTGCAATCTTTGTTTCTATTTTATTACAAAAAGGGGAACTTTTCATGCTTCAGTTGCCTTGACAATGTCAGTCCTAGCTGGTAGGAGAGACTAAAACTCCTCTGAGCAACTGAAGTTTCCTTATTCAGCTGAAGATTGCTATGGTGTAACTGAAGTTGTATTTTGCTTCTCCTGTTAATCCACTTTCCACTCCCCACCCTGTTCTCTGAAGAACATGGTGCAGATTTGTTAGAAATAGTACTACCTTCTTTCCCCCACCCCAGACCGCTACCTGTTTCTTGCTTGCTTTGGATTGTCCACACCTCTAGAAGACTTCACAGCGATGCTGGACTGCAGTGACTGTGTTCTAGGTGGGTACCAGCACAGTTCTTTCTTAGAAGCTTTAATATGGAAATAGCATGTGAGGGGTTGACTATGCTTAAATGCTTAATCACATGCAGCCAAGGCAAGGGAGGGGGGAGAGGTGGTTGAGTGGGGAAGAAGGAAAGCATTTGCAAAGCACTATGTGTGCTTGAGTGAGCTGTGGTCCCTCCCTATGTTGGCTCTTCTGGTTCCGAGGGTACTTTGAATAAATAGTGTGGATTGAGAATTTGACCTCAATGGAGATGTTTTTTACTTTTGGGGGACTTCTGTGGAAAGCATTTAATATAAATTCTAAAAAACGTTTTAAAATCAGAAACAAGGTTTGAACTGTACCTAACTAATATAAAATGAACATATTAATAAAATTTTTGCAAACCTAGTATCAGTGAAAAATGAAGTGGAGCCACCTCTAGAATTGTTTCCGTACATACTATTGCAACATTGTAGTGTTGACTGCACCTTATGTATTGACCCATTTCCAAATTTTAGACATTATGAACTTTTAAAATTCCAAGATTAGTCCTTATTTTTGTGTTGAAACCAACTATCTTTAGTAGAAAACTATGGTTTTAAGTATTGGAAAGCTTATCTTAAAAGAGTTTTCCCTATAGACAAGCAAGCCTTTAGAGAGGGAGGTATCCTACTTTAATTTTAATGTATACACCGCCTTTGGTTGACTGAGATTTAAAATAGATAGAGGCATTCTGGTATTGAGGCAGATGGTGGCTCCTGGTGGCCATATTTTGTGTGGAGTTTTGTTTATTTCTCTATAGTATTAATAAAACCTTTTTAGGTTATTGTAGTCACCAGAAAAGTCAGGGGATAGAAACTCCTGGAGTTGGATACCTTAAGTTTAAAACTTCTGCTGATGATTTTTCTTTTCCTGTGTGTCATTTTCCCTACTTGAAAATTGAGGCTACTTCCGTCACCTTCCCAGTTGCCAAGGGAAAATAAATTGATCATTCTGAAGATGGATGAATTCTTATGCAGAAGGCATGGCCTGAACCCAAGGTAGTAGTTACATGGTCCCCCACAATAAAAATCCCCATCTAAAGGGCACGTGATGAGCAGTACATGGATGTCAGGAATTCAGGAGCAGCCTGTAGACTTCGTGTTGGTCTCACTGTGTCTAGTCAGCTCAGGGGCGTAGACGTGAATTTTTTATACTGGCTAGAGAGAAGATGATTTCAGATGTCAAAGAAGAATTTACTTGTTTTTACTCTTTTACATTTACTAAGTTGGAAACTCAAGAAACAAAAGGAAAATACCTTTTTGAGATTTTTTAACATTTATTGTTGAATTAGAAATTATGTCTACTACTTTCAACTAACAGTCAATATCATTGAAATAGTCTTATCATTGTTGTTGCAGTTAATCAGAATTTTATTGTTTTATTCTCTTTGGTATGTTTGAAGTAATTTCATTAAATGCCCTTGAAACTCTTTGACAATTCAGTGATTGGTCCTTAGGAGATTCACATAAAATACCTGTGACATAATTTTTAACTTATAAATGTGGAAATAAGGACATGAATTATGCAGGGTCAGGCTCGTGAGTCAACGATTTGTGCTTGCTTTGTTTCTATGATGTCCCTATATGTGGGAAATCGTTACCCTTTTTATCAATGTTAACTTATTTATTATTTTTTCTACTTTCCTTTAAAATACATTCTAAGAGAAGCATTAAGCCATTTGCATTCCTAATGGCATTTCTGTTAAACTTGTGATCTTTGTTAACTTTCATAAGAGTTGGGTAAGTCATTCAGAAAGCTGTTTTTCACTAAGTCGCACACCTGTTTCTTTCAAACCTTAGTATGCTTTCAGATGATATTTAAAATTTTCTGGACAGTGGGGAAAGGAAGTTGTAGAACTGTCCTCATTTATGACCACAGACACAAACTTTATGCTTTTAAATATCTATAGAACAAACCAAGGATACACTATACCGTCTAAGCCCAAAAGACAAACAGGCACAAAAGCTTACAGTTTGAGAGGCTGTTACATAGCCTGTAGATTGGATATGAAATTTTATCAAAAAAGGGCTCTTGATCTTTTTTTCCTTAGCACTTTGTGCATGTGGATGCTGCAGCTTAATGGACACATGGTCAGGACTTCAAATCAATGCTGTCATTCCTAGTTGAAGTGTTTATTCTTCTCTAATAACTACAGTTAAATAGTTGGAAAAAGTAGAACTTTTTTGTTAATAAACTTCTTTGATTGTAAATATTCCAAGTTTTAGTTTGCAGTAGATATAGAACAAGATGTTTACTTTTTTAAAAAAATCCCTTTTAAAGAGGTAGAATAACAGTGTTGTTCTTGACTCCTCTCCTGCGTGTTTTCTAGGACACTATTTTATACAGCTTGGTGAAAATCCTGGTGGAAACGAACTTGTTTACATAGATAGCACTGAAAGAAGTAAACTCAAATTAGCAGGTTCATTTGAGATGTCTGGGTGATAAGATTCTAAGTGGACATGGTTACAATTCAGTCTTGAAGTCTAATTTAGAGATTTCTGTTGTGTCTGCTGGTATAACTTTTGTACCGGTTTTTGCTTGAGGTATATATTTGACCTAATATTACTTTGACTTAGATTAGTTTGGTTGAGGAAGGGAAGAAGTATATTTTTCTTAGACGTATTTTCTTTTGAGTTACTACCCCATCTATTATCCATATTAAAATTCTTTAGAAAGGTAATTTATTTGTGGTTGCCATCAGGATCCCAGGGATCCTGAATTTCTTTCAGGTTACTTCTATTACAGTTTGTAACGTTTAGCTTGATATGTCCCTGAACTAACTGTATGAATGTGACATTAGTTAACCCTTTTCCTTTTTCTTTTCTTTTCTTTTTTTTTTTTTGGTGGGGGAGGGGTGCCTTCTTAGCCCATCTTTACTCTGAGTTAAAAATCGTATTCCCCTCTGCTTTATTACAGACTCAAGAATGAACAATCCGTCAGAAACCAGTAAACCGTCGATGGAGAGTGGAGATGACGCTACAGGTAAGAAGTAGTCTCTGATCTAGCTTTTTAATTAGATGAGATAGAGCTGATAGAAGAAACTTGCCACTTCACTTGGACATATATTTGGCTTGTACAGAACAGTTTGCACATTGAGTTGTCAAATATTATTTAGTAGTTGCACCAAGTGCAGTTGTTTAATATTATCTAACTTTCTTCTGCAGATTGCTTTATCTTTCTGCTTCCATCTATCAGAAACTACAGAATCGTTATGGGAATAGTTGTTTGGGTCAGATAGTTCAGGGTATGAATTATGGATTTACCACTTAATGACTGTGTGACTTTAGGCAATTTCCCCAATCGTTTTGAGACTGAATTTATTCAATTATTCAATGGGAATGTTTCATAGGTCATTAGGAGTATTAGATGAGAGAAAGTTCGTGAAGTGTGAAGCATAGTGCCAGCTGCACCGTGATCGTGCTGTTCAGAGTGTCGCTTGTTATAGACGTTGATCAGAATAGTAAATCTCATCCACCCCATATTCGTTATAAGTTATGTTAAAAAGTCCATATTTTGTTAAGTAGTTATAAACACACTCATTTCTAATACATTCTTTTATTTCATTTTTTAAAATTTACACACGATTAAACCTTTGATCAAGAGAAAATTAATTATCATTATCATATAAATGAGAAAACTCAAGCCCCATGAGAGAAAGGTGAATCCATTAAAAGAATGTTGGTCTCCGCAGCCCATACTCTTGTTAAGTCAGTATATTGCTCAGGGGACATTTGGCTATGTATCTTTATCATCTGCTGGAGATGTGCAGAGACTCCCATTTCTGGAAGAGCTTGGATTCCAAGTATTAGGCTGCATTGAAAAGAGTACCATGGGTAGGATGCACAGGAGGTGGCATTTCTAGAGAGACAGGTTTCCACTTGCAGAGAGACCTCCCTCTTTGGCTGTTTTTTTAAAAAATGTGCCTGACTCTGGGAGATGGCAAGAATGAGGCACCCTTGAAACTGTTTTCTGCCTCTATTGGCCACAAAACTTTTTAATTCGTGGTAGATGGGTGGGTTGAACCAATGTTCCTGCCTGTGTGGTTTCTACTATAGGCTATCCTATACCTGGAGACACCTATTAACCTTGTCATCTCTAAAATGTTTCTACCTCTTTGTGTGAACTGAGCTGTAAAGTTAACATGTGCAACTGGGTTACATTAAAGGTGTCTCCTGTCACTCTGACCGAAAAGTGCGGTAGACTGCTTTAGGTTCCTGAGAAGGGGTATGGGGGGTACCATTGAATTCTTCCTGAATCATCAGCCACAGTCTCCTTCCTGTTATTCCTCCAACCCTGTTTTTGCCCCATCTTCCTGTGTGTTGGGGCATTGGTGCCTGTGCCAGTGTGGGTACTTTGGCCACAGCCAAAGGTACATACCTTTGCAGAGAGAAAAAATGCTGTTGATCACACTAGGAGGTCAGAGGAGAGTGGGTGGGACACACTTGGCTAAAGAATAGCTTCAAAGACAAGACCCTGTTTTTCTGTCAAGGGAATAGAAACAGACTGACAGAAGGATTGGAGAATACTTAAAATATTCACTATATGGGCCTCATTAGAATGCCCATATTTGTCATGCTCTTCCTCCCTTCTCTATTTTGAGTCACCCCTCTTATATCAAAGAAGACACTCGGCATTTGGTTTTTAGGGATTGGCTAAATGTATGATATGTCAAGATCATTGTATTGTCATGAGCAACTAATTAAAAAAAAAAAAGGAATCCCCATATTTGCTTTAACATCACAGTTTCAGTGCCTGCCATGTCTTATTGAGCAGCTACAAACTATAATAAAACCCGGTGGCTTGTTTTAGAAAATCCTAAGCACTGTACACATTCCCGATAGCAGTTCTTATGACAAGTTATATGTTATTTCAGGGACTAGGAAATTGAGACACCAAAGCAACTAGGAAATAGAGTATTTGTACCCTGAATATGATTTTTCCCCATGAAGTGTAACAAAATAAAAATGAAAATTTAAGCCATACTTTGTATTCATTCAGTCCTAAACCATTTCCACAGCTCTGAGATAACTCCTGGCTGCAGCACTCCTTGAAACAGTCTTGTGAATTTCTTGCCTCTTATCATATTCGGTGCTTGACAGACTTGTTCTCATTATGGAGCTGAGCATTATCTGTTTAGATAAGGGGGAGCTAAGAGCTGGCACTTTCATATAAGTCCTTATTCCCAACACCACTAGTGGAACTTGATTTCCTCCTTACAAAGAAAGTACATTATTATTGTTTTTGTTTTGTTTTGTTTTGTTTTTAAAAGAGCTTTTGCTAATGCAATAACAGGTAGCTGGATCAAATGTGACATGATCAGCCATCAACTCTGAACTAGAGTAGCTTACTTCCCATTTGTTTACTGGGGCATTTGCTGCTTTAGTAAAGTTATAAATTACTTCCACTTTATGGGTCTTTACATTCACTTGAGAGCAACAGAAGTCTTAATTATCTGTTTCTCTAATGTTTAAGTTCCATTGCCATATTGAAATCTGATATTTTCTGGATTCAGAATACTTGTGTTGATCATCTTTTCTCGAATGTTTATAATTATTATTATGATATTGACTTGTGAGATTTTAAGGAGAATGATCTTAAAAATTATTTAAGATTATGTTGGCATTATGCTTGTTTGTCTTTCTCTATGATTTATTTTAAAAAGTAAATCTTATATCTATCATAATTCAGGTGGGAAAAGAGGTAGAGTTAACCGACTAGAAAGTCAGTGACTTAACAAGGTACACTGCTTTACAAGAAAATAAGTTTTCATGATTCAAAACCAATATTAACAGTGAGTGTATTTTAGTCAGATGACCCTATGTGTTCACAGAAAATCTGTAGTTTAGACTTGTTCAGGTTTGTGTCTTCTGTATGTACCATATCATAGTTAGTGTTATTAGGTCCAGTGCAAAAAGACCAGCCTCTTTCAGTCTTCAAAGGGTTAGCAGCCCACTGATTCTGGCTAGGTGGTGGTAGGTAGTTCAAGAGCAGATATGGAGGGGTGCAATATGTTGGTCAGTGGGGGAAATTTGAGTATGTTGGTGGAAGGAACCATCATGGGTGAAGAGAAGGAAGAAACCTAACTGACAGAGGAAAGGCTGTGATAAAGGAAGTGCAGAATGAGGATAAATTTTGAGAATGAAAAAATGTGCACCCTGAGCTGGGGTTGTAGCTCAGAGGTGGAGCACTCACCTAGCACGTTCAATCCTCAGCACCACGTAAAAATAAATAAATAAAAGGTTTTGTGTCCATCTACAACTAAAAAAAATTTTCAAAAAAATGTGCACCCTTTTTCTACAGTAGGGAAGAATGGAAGACTTGTTTTTGTCTCCAGTGCCCAGTCTGCCCTAGTGTACTTAGTGGAAGTACTAAACCTTGAATAAGATAGTGATTTTGTTCTCGAGAAATTAATGTTGTAGATGTTTGAGAATACAGCAGAAATTGAGAAGTTTCATAAAAGGTATATAAGAATCCACTGTAGGGAGAAACTGTTTCTGACTTGGAGGACCAGGGAAGGGTTTGAAGAAGGTAGAGCCTCCAGTGTGCCTTGAGGGTAGCATTTAAATGAGATGGTGATGGGCAGGGTTTGATCCTTGGAAGCAGCAGGAGTCCAGTTAGGGAGGGAGAGCCGCCAGCTGCGTCCTGAGGTCTCCCATTCCTTCAGGGTGCTGCTGTTGTGCCTTGATGCCCAGACACGTCCTCGGTCAGCCATCCTCAGAACCAGTGACCATTCCCGGTCCTCCCCTGCAGTGCAGCCACTGCTCTTTCCTCCAGCTCATTGTTTTTATAAATTTACCTGGGCTTTTTAGACTTAGTTTTGATAATGAAGGAAGGTAAAAAGGACCTGTTTTTAAATATCAAGTTTTATGTAATTTTTTTCTGATAATATAGGTTTTGAAATATGAAAACTTATTTTCTTGTAAAGCAGTGAACCTGTTAAGTTACTGACTTTCTAGTCGGTTAACTCTACTCTTTTCCCACCTGAATTATGATAGATGTAAGACTTCCATATCCTGTCCTGTTTTACTTCATTTTCTATCCAGAGGTCTTCCCTCCCTCCACCCCCGATCCAGAGATTAATGGTAAGATTTTTTGGGCAAATGAAAAGGCCAAAGAAATTTATTAATGTAAACTAATGTGCATTTATGAAGTAGTATTACAAAAATATCATTCATGAGAAGTTCTTAGTAACCAGTGATGTTTGTCTTGTGGAATTTACTAATACCATGGCTGAAATTAGTAAATTATATTCATAAAGAGAATGATCAGAGGTCATTTTCTCCAGAATGAGGAGAAAGGATCCTGAAGACCAGGGTCCCAGTAAATAAGCTAGTATTCTTCTTAATAATTTGATGTCTTGAACTGGCACTTTGGAAACATTTCCAAAAATGTGCCTGAAAATACAAGCGTTTTCAGGAGTAACATCTGAAAATCACTAGAGAACAGGCCTCAGGTAAAAATCTCATCAAACCAGAGTAGAGCAATGGCAGACTTCAGATTCTGAAGGACTAGCTTCCCTTGAAACTTACATTTACTTAGAGGCCATTTCTTTCATTATCATCATAATCTTAATGTTTATACATAATTTACTGTGGCTTTCATTCTGCACTGAGTAAGATGCTCCTATAAGCCTGAGGGTAGAAATCCCAATACCAAATTTTTTGGAGTCCTTCACAGGGACGTTTTCAATAATGGGTAATTCCAGGGGCCACTGACAGTAGCTGACCACTCCCAGAGGACCTCAAGAGCACAGTGAAGAGTTCATCAGGTGTCAGAACGCACATCAGAAAGGTAGGCCTTCCTCCAGGGTTTGAGTTGATAGGAGTTGTACGTTTGTTAACAGGTTTTGGCCACCGCTTGTTGAAAATATGGCCCTGGTGCATGTGGTTGGTTGGTTAGTTTTTAAGTATAGAAGGGGGAAAGGGAGCTATAATCACTAAACCTGTAAGGATAGTAAAAAGTACCACCTGAAGTATGATTAT